GCTGGGAGGAGAGAAAAGGTGTGTTCTGCATTGAGAGACTGTGCTTTGTATTGCCAAGGAGTCCAGCAGAGTTGCTAAATCCCCCCCGCAACCAGGACTCTGGAATCAATTCATTTGGGAGGTCCGGAAGGCAGGCCTACTATGTGCAGAGTGAGACACAGGGTCAGGGAGAGGGCACTGCCCAGGTGATGTCATGTGTTGTGTCTGCCACTTGGGGCCTGGACTGATCAGACTTACGCTCAGGAAGGGGACACGTGGGCGGTGATTACCTGTCAAAGGTGGGAGGGCTCCCCAAATGTGCTGGTGTTCCCAGAAGGGGAGTGGGATAGGGTGTGTTTTGGCTGTTGAGCATCTAGTCAGCCTCCTTCCAGTGGAAACTCTGCATTTTTATTTGGGGCTCTATTCTCAGCTGATGTTCCAGGGTTGAGCTCAATGGTAGGGCTCCTGCTACCCGCTCCTCTGAGTCAGGAGTGGAGCATGTGATTTACAGCCCATCAGAACACTGCGTTCCCCTGGCCACACTGGTTGGTTCAGGGACAGACATGTGACTGATCCAGAGCCAATGAAACTAGCTAGGAATCCTGGGAAGGAGACACCCATGCTTGCAGCTGGGCAGGAAGCTGAGAGGATGCAAGGATGGCCATACTGGTACCAGGAGAAGAGAGACAGACATACAGTCTGTGGATGAGGTCGAAGAGAAGAAAACAGAATATAAAGGAGTGAGAAACCACTGCCTAATCCAGCCCTGTGTGATGCCATTACTGCTGGATCAGTTATTAAAAAGGCTAATATGTTTCCTCTTCAATTAAGCCATTTTGATTTGAGTTTTTGTTCATTTATGCTCACAAACAACTGCAAGAGGCCAGTCTGATTCAAAAAAGGATAACTCGGGCTTCCCTGGTGGCGCAGTGGTTGAGAGTCTGCCTGCCGATGCAGGGGACATGGGTTCGTGCCCCGGTCCGGGAAGATCCCACATGCCGCGGAGCGGCTGGGCCCGTGAGCCATGGCCGCTGAGCCTGCGCGTCCAGAGCCTGTGCTCCGCAGCGGGAGAGGCCACAACAGTGAGAGGCCCGCGTACCAAAAAAAAAAAAAGAAAACTCCTATAGTTTAGAGTAATCCAGAAACGCTTCATGGAAGAGAAGACAGACAAAACTTGGATAAATTCAGGACAGGGAAGCACTAGAAAAGGATTTGAGTTGGTTGTAACAACCGACGAGGCTGGTCTGGTTGAAATGGCTCATACTGGGGATGACAAAAGAGGAGATTGGGCTGGTGTGCGTGCGTGTGTGTGTGCGCGCGTGTGTGCGTGTGCGTGCGTGTGTGCGCACTTCTACACTGTGTGTGGTGTTCTGACTAATACAGGTGCCATCACTTCACAGTTCATAACACACCTCCACTGCTAGACCACAAACTCCATGAGGACGGTACCTGGGTCTGTTTTTTTTTCACCCTTGGATACCCAGCACCTGGCACATAGTAGGCTCTTAATAAATACTTGTTGAGGGAATAAATGACTAATGTAATCAACTCCCACTAGTCCACTCACTTGATATGGTTGTTGTGAAGATTAGATATATCGTATATAAAACACCGAACATAGTGCCTGGATCACAGGAGGTGCTCAGTAAATAGGAATGCACATTATTAAGATGCTAGGATGTGCCCATTTTCCAGATTTGGGAATTGAGGCTCTTAGGAATGGGTAGCATATCCAACAGCACATAATATGTTCAGAGTCGGGCTTTGAACCCCCAGTCCACTGCACAGCCCCTGGAGGGCAACGGGCAGCAGAACAATACAATGGGCTGCAAATCCATGGGTCAGGTCTGGGCCTCAGGTGACCTTGATTCATGCAGTATTTTAGAAATGTCTGAATTAGCTGCCAATACTTAAAAATCAGACTTCACAGGAAAAAAATACACAAATTTGTGGCTTCTGTTGAAAAATCAGAAAACCTGGCCGTCTCGGGCCCACAGTGCTACGTGGGACAGACAGGCCTGATCCGAGAGTTTGCTGCCCCGTTTTAGACAGCTGAGTCCTCCACAGTCCCCACCGCTCCATGCTGTCTCACCTGCTCCCAGCCTGCTCTCCTGTTTGCATGACGGCCTGTCCCCCGGTGACTTTTGCCTAGGAGCCTTGTGTGGCTTCTTAGAGACAACGAGAGGGAGGCCCCAAGGAATCGTCATCAGAGAACCCTGGTTATGACAGTAAGTCAGGCCCAGGGCTAGTGGCAGTGGGAATGGGGAAGAGAAAGAGGTGGATTTGACAGACCGGAGAAATAATGTATCTGCTGTGGTGGGATGCTGGAGCTGATTCTGAAGATTTAGTTGGGGCAGGAATATTTGTGAGTCTCCAGATATATATTTTTTAATGGTAGGTTTAGATGAACCGTCAGTGTTAGTCCCTCCCTCCTTACCACCATCATCATCATTATCTAAGCCTGGGGTCAGGAGACTACCACCCACTGGACAGGTCAGGCCCCCTGCCTGTTTTTGTAAATAAAGTTTTACTGAAACACAGCCATGCTTATCGGTTTACATATCATCTATGGCTGCTTTTGCACTGCAGGGGAAGACTTGAGCAGTTACAATAGAGACTATGGCTTGTAAAGTCTGAAATATTTAGTATTTGGCCATTTACAGAGCAAGTTTGGTGTTCTGGTCTGGACTAATATGTTCTGAATATTTACTATATATGCAAGGGTCTCCTCTCATGCTCTACATGTATTAACTCATGTGATCCTCAAAAACGTCTGTGGAAAAACCACAGTGAAGTACCACTATACCCCCAGCCAAATGGCTATAAGATAAAAGACAATGGCTGTAAGATAAAAGACAATGGCTATAAGAAAAAAGACAATGGCTATAAGAAAAAAGACAATATACCTGTGTTCAGGAATGGGAAGCAACGGGAACGCTTAAACATTTCTGGCTGGGAAGTGTAAACTGGTTCAACCACGTAACGTATCCTATATCCCAACAATTGTACTCCCAGGTGGATAAGCCAAAGAAATGGGTTCATATGTCTACCAAAAGCCATGTGTAAGGATGCTCACAGCAGCTTAGTTCATAACAGACCCAACCAGAGACAACCAAAATATCCATCAGTCGTTGAATAGATGAATATCTGTCATCTATTTATACAACAGAATACTACATAGCAATGAAAAGGACACATGGCTGATATACACAACCATGTGGATGAATCTCACAGACGTGATGTTGAGTGAAAAAAGCCAGATATAGAGAGCACATATGATATGATTCCATTTATGTGAAGTTCTTGAACAGGCAAAACCAATCCACGGTGATAAAAGTCAAAATAGAGGTGGTGGCGGTTTTGGCTGGAAAGGCGTGTGAGGGAACCTGCTGGGGGTTGGAAATGCTCTACAGCTAGACCTGGGCAGCACTTACAGAGATGCACAGATATGTGAAAATTCCCTGAAAATTCACTTAGGATCTATGCTCCTTACCTTATCTCAGTTCAACAAATCAGAACTAGAAAAAGTATGTCCTAGGGCACAAACAGATTAAAGGTATAATCACACAATGGAATGCTTTACAACAAGAATGAAGGATCTACACTCACACGTAACAACATGGGAATTTCAACAGAGTGTTAAGCAACAAAAGCTGGATATAGAATTAGTCTACAAGGCTGGAAGTCTGAGTAATGGGTGTCCTTTTGGGAGGGGTGGTTGCTGGGAGTTCCATGAGGGGAACTTCATGACCTACGTGAGTGCTGGTTACATGTGTCTGCTCAGTTTTTGAAAATTCATTGAACTGTACACTCTATATGCACACTTTCTGTAAGAAAGTTCTGCCTTGGCAAAATGTTATAAAATAATACCCTCATATCACCTGGCACCCCCCCCCCCACCCACAATGGAACATTATTCCGTCCTAAGAAAGAAGGAAATCCTGCCATTTGTATCAACATGCACATACTTTGAGGACATTATGCTAAGTGACGTAAGTCAGAGAAAGACAAATACCGTGTGATATCACTTGTATGTGGAATCCAAAAGAGCTGAACTCATACAAACAGAAAGTAGAATGGGTGTTACCAGGGGCGGGGGGTGGGAGAAGTGGGGACATGTTGTTTAAAGGGACAAACTTACAACTAGTAAATAAGTAAGTCCTGGAGATCTAATGCACAGCACAGTGACTCTAGGCAACAGTACTGTATTATAGACATCAGACTTGCTAAGAGAGACTAGGTCTTGATTATTCTCACCACAGAAAGGAAAAGATTATGCAACGTGATAAAGGTTTAGCTAACATGACAACGGCAATCACACTGCGCTACACACATGTATCGAATAAGCATGTTGTACGTGTTAAACTTACACAATGTTATATGTCAACTGTATCTCAACTGAAAAAAACCAACACTCGTACATTGCCATTTGCAGCAACAGAGATAAACCTAGCATTACACTTAGCGAAGTAAGTCAGAGAGAGACAGGTATGTGATATCACTTATATGTGGAATCTAAAAATAAAACAAACGAATCTAACACAAAACAGAAACAGACTCACAGACACAGAAAAACAAACTTATGGTCACCCAAGGGGAAAGGGATGGGGGGATGGGGGGAGAGATAAATGAGGAGCACGGGATTAACAAACACGACACATGAAACAAATAAGCAACAAGGATTTACTGCATAGCACAGGGAATTACATTCAATATCTTGAAATAACCTAGAATGGAAAGTAATCTGGAAAAATATAACTGAATCACTTTGCTGTACCCCTGAAACTAACACAATCTTGTAAATCAGCTTTAATTTCAAAAAATGAAAAATAAAACAATACTCTTAGAAACAGAGACTATCATTGGAGAAAAGAGAATACTGAAGCAGAGGACGTAAGTAAAGCCGCTCAAGGTCACACGTGTAATAAGTGTCGCCGTCTGAGCCCAGGTAGTCGGGCTCCCGTGTCGGGATCGCCAGGGCCGAGCCCCACCGCCTCTCCCAGCCAGGAAGGGGGACTCACCTTGGAGTAGTCAAAGCCGTGCTTTTCCTTCACTCCGTTCCGACACAGCGTGTAGTTATAAAAGCGGGAGTTTTTAAGGAGGCCGACCCACTCCTTCCAGCCAGGCGGTACGTAGGAGCCGTTGTATTCATTGAGGTACTTCCCAAAGAAAGCTGGAGGGGAGAAGGGCCAGGAGGCCACGTGAGCACACGGAGAGCAAACGCCTTCTCTGTCCGTCAGCCAACAGCCATTTCTAAACCGCGGCAGGCCCGGAGCCTGGCGACAGCACTGCCCTCTGAGCCACGGAGCCCTTTGGCAGGCAAGGGCAGCCTATGACCCCCTTCTCAAATGTTTTCACGTGCAGAAAATAAAATATATACGATTACAGAGAAGATCAATTATTCTGAAATACAGTTATCAAAATATTAGGAGAATTTGCCATATAGTAACGTGTCCTTAAAAAAAACGAAGATTAAACGCAAGACCTTGCAAGGAATGATCATTTCAAAGTAGGGATGAGTGAGAATATTTGATTTCGCGACACCTACAGCAACTGCAACGGAATACTGAAACACCAGCGATTTCTATGATGACAATGGTATAGATTCTGCCGATGCAACGTGGTTAGGGGCTTACGTTCAGAACTGAAGCAAATGTCAAGTGTCAGTTGTAGGTCGGTGAAAACCAGAGCATCATTTTTTCCCACTCAAGTTTATGGACCCCCTTGGATTCTATCTACTACATGGCGCCTAGAAGGGGTAACATTTAAAAAAAATGGACCGAGACCGATTGTAGGTGGGGGCATGGGGCATCTGGAGCTCTCACACGCTGCCGGTGGACGTGCAGGCCGATCCAGTGCAAATGGGTGCCCAATTCAACAGCAACTGCGTGTCCTGGCTGGGTGCTGGGGCATCAAGGATGGAGACGCCGGCTGGAGGTAAGAGGCAGCATAAAAGCATCAGGTAGGCTGAAGGCTTGAGCCTCTTTCTCTAGAACGTGGCACAGACACTTGCTCCATCCGCCCCCAGAAAGCAGTGGCTCTCAGCCAGGGGCAGTTTTGCCCCTTAGACACTTGGCAGTGTCTGCAGACATTTTAGGTTTGTCACAACTTGGGGAAGAGGATGCATCTAGCGGGCAGAGGCCCGGGAGAATGCTAAGCATTCGACAGAGCTCAGGACAGCCTCCACTACAGAGAATCATCCGGCACAAAATGTCAATACCCTGGAGTTGAGAAAAACCCTGATTTAAGTAACTCCACCTGGCCCTCAGCACCTCCTTCCCATCAGTAAAAGAACCACACTGTGAGAGCTGAGAAGGCCCCTGGAGACCAAGCACAGTCCAGGAAACAAGATCTACCAAACCTCAATAACCTTACTCCCCACTCCTGATGCTTCTTTCCATAGGTAGGGAGCTCTACTCTGCTAACACGCCTAGCCTCTTCCTTTCTCTCCTGTTCTACCTTGGGGAAGACTGACACAGCAGGGGCAGCAAACCTTTCCTGTAAAGGCCCAGAGAGTAAATATTTTAGGCTTCAAAGGCCAGACAGCCTCTATTGCAACTATTCAACTCTGCTGTTGCGGGAAACAGTCATAGACAATCCATAGACAAATGGGTGTGGCTGTGTTTCAATAAAACTTTATTTAGGGCTTCCCTGGTGGCGCAGTGCTTGAGAGTCCGCCTGCCGATGCAGGAGGCGCGGGTTCGTGCCCCGTTTCGGGAGGATCCCGCATGCCGCGGAGCGGCTGGGCCCGTGAGCCATGGCCGCTGGGCCTGCGCGTCCGGAGCCTGTGCTCCGCAGATGGGAGAGGCCACAGCAGTGAGAGGCCCGCATAACGCAAGAAAACAAAAACAAAAACAAAAAACTTTATTTAAAAGGCAGATGGAGGGCCGGATCTGGCTTGTGGGCTGCAGTTTGCTGACCCTTAGCATATGTGTCTGGTGAGTTTGGTGGGACAAATTGGACACACGTAACCCAATCCTTCCGTTGCCTTCCTGTGTGGAGTGATCTACCCCCAGGCACTGCTAGTTCAACGGGGCTTGGCTCAGTGAGAAATCTGTCTGACTCTGGAGTTTAGCATCAGGAAGCCCATATGCCCTCAGAAGGAAGCCAGATCCTCAAACTTGGACTTTATCAGATTCCTCAAAGTACCATTTTGGCTTCCATCTGCTGGCTCCTTAATTTTATTTCTCATTTGGTTCAAAACTTCAACAAGGAAGAATGTGATCTTAATAAGCATCCCCTCAAAGCTCCCCAACACTTTCTCATGATAAATAATATTGGTGGTGGTGTAAACGTTTTCTTTTCAAACAACTGAAGTAAAAAGAGTAAAACAATCGAGAGAAAAATATTAATAATAGAATCAGTGTCCCAGGCATGTAAAGATCAATATATCCATTAAACAACTATTTATTAAACACCTAAGGTATGCCAGGAGCTGTTCTAGTCACTGGAAACACAGCAGTAAAGAAGACCCTCAGGATCCCTGACTTCATGGGGCTCACATTCTAGGGAGGAGGACGGTGACAAATAAAGATGGTGGTGTTGGTGACAACAGTGATGAAGAAAATAAAGGATGATGATGCAACAAAGTGGCCAGAGATGGACCACAGGAGGTACCACTGGGCTGGGTAGTCAGCGTTGAGGAATGATGAGAATCAGTCAGAGGGAATATGGGAATATAAGGAAAACTTCTCCAGGCCGAAAGAACAGCAAGTGCAAAGGTCCTGAGGCAGCAACAAGCTTGGGGGCACACATCCCCTGAAATATTACATGCCAGATTTTTCATTTTGTGTGCATTTTCCTGGAAACACAGCTTCTGACACATTTTGAAGGGAAGACAGGACCACAAGTCATTTCAGAAGCACAGAAGTTCACTCTCTTGGTTTGCAGAAGAGTGAACGAAAGCCCAGAGAAGGAGGCTCACTGAATCCCCCACTGGGGGAACAAGGTCCCCTCCCAGGTCTCCCCAGTCTCCAGCTCATGATCCTACTGGTTTGTTCCTGAAGATGTGGGCTAAGGTCTTTCTGATGAAATGTGCAACTTGAAATGCTAAAGGCCTAAATTCTTGGCCCTGCTGGTGGGATAGATATTTCTTGGGGGTGGGAGGTGGGGTGACTTTGGAAGCCCACCCCTGCCTATTATTTTCCAATGCCATGGGTGTCAACACATCCGGAGCTGTTTCCTCTGCTAGAATCTTCTCTTTCACATCTCCCTCCTCTTTCTAACCCCCCAATCCTTCAAAACTCCAGAGTTTATTATTCAGCCTCCACAAGGCCCTAGAAAACAGGGCTTCAGTGAAAGGCTTTTAGTGCCAAATTAGATTTTGCTCTCATTTGATTAGATTTCACCAAGGCAGTTTTTAAAATGGTTACTCCGGCACCAGTTGAGGTGCGAGAAGCAAATTAGCATGGGCCCCTGGGGCACTGGGACTGGGAGATACATGCAGGAGAATGAGCTGGAATTAAAATCAAGATTAAAAATACAGCCCATGTCATGGCTGGAGCCTGGAGTCGCTGAGCCTTCGCTGCTGGGATGGTATAAAGGAAGAGCAAACTGGGGGCTGCTGCGGGGGGGTAACAACTTGGCAGGCAGATTAAGAGGAATCAAATGCCAGGCCAGGAAACACCACTGACAATGTGCTGGCTGATGGCTGCCCCTAGGATTGGGAAGTTTTTCTTTCATGGGGCTTGAAGCTGGTGGGATATAAGCTTGAAACTGCTGGCAGCCAAGAAGGGGTGAGGCTGTTTGAAGAAAGCAGCAGAGGTGAGTGATGGAGATATGGAGAGAGAGAGAGAGAGGTGGAAAGAGAGAGAAATATGCTGGTTTGAGTCCCTGAGTCCACTCTTACCTGAAGCCACCTTTAATGCTAGCATTTTCAGTTACACTGTTGCCCAATTTTAGGGGACATTGGACAATGGGGACATTTTTAGTTGTCACAACCAGCATCAAGTAAGTAGAAGCAAGGGATGCTGGTAAGCATCCTATAATGCACAGGATGGCTCCCCAGGAAAAAGAATTATCTGGCCCAAGATGTCAGTAGTGCCAAGGGTGAAAAACCCTGAATTAGGTAAACCAATAAATCCCACCACTCCACTTATGTTGTTGTTTTGTTTGCTTAATTCACTTTGGGTTGAGGTCTTTCACCTGCAATTAAAAAGACCCAAGGAGAAGACAGTGAGATGCTCAGTGTAGAGCAGGGTTTTGGCAAACCAGATCTGGCCCGCCACCTGTTTTTGTAAATAGTTTCACTGGAACACAGCCACACCCACTTGTTTACGTGCCTTTATGGCTGCTTGCACACTGCAATGGCAGAGTTGGGTAGCTGCAACAGAGAGCATGTGGCTGCAAGTCCCAAATATTTACTATCTGGCCCTTTGCAGGAAAAGTTTTCTCACCCTGGGTGCAGAGCAAAATTCCCTGCATGGGGTGAAGGATCCCTCTGGGATCTGAAACAAGGCTGTGGTGACCTGGAGTGGTGATGCCAGTGCAGCAGCGGTAGACTCTGAACTGGGCCAGGGTGGTGTGGGCTCCAGAGTGCAAAGGAGTGACACAAGGGGGATGGCCATGACAACAGAACAGGAGCCGCCAGTTACAGGCTGTCCTCGCCCGTGCACGGTCCTGATATGCACAAATGTCAGTTTCTACACTTTGGTTAAATAATACCAGTCTCCCACAGCATGGTTCAAATTTGGCCATGGCAGCATACTAACTGTAACTGCATCAAGTACACATTTCACTACTAGCTCCTCTGTCCACAAATCACTGTGTCAATAACAGATGCCCATCACGATCAGCCACATTGCGTCTCTCAAAGTCCATCAGTGACTGGTTACCGCCCACCTGTTATTCAGTTCACGTGCAGACAGCAACGCAAGTAATTGTGTTGCCTCCCTGTCTCCCAGTGATACACCTACAAGACATTTTACAAAAGTGAATTATCGAAAGGAGACAGCTGGCCACCAGAGGCGAAAGTGCAGCAAAGAAATGAAAAGTTTGAACGCTGAAATTGAAACTTGAGTTGAATGTCAATGGAGTCATAGGTGGAGGTGGAGCTGACCGTGGGAATGTTGACACTCACTGTTTGGGAAACTCTAGACAAGTGGCTGAACGAACTTAGCCAAAGGTGAACTTAATCATCGATGTAAATGAGGAAAAGTGGTTGTGATGACAAGG